GCACCCACTTTTTGCTTGATGTTCAGGCAGGGCTTCTTGTAGGTCAGAGCACGGTCCAGAGTGACTCCCAGGTATTTGGGTGCGCTGCAATGCTCCAGTGGGATTCCTTCCCAGGTGATCTTCAGAGCTCGGGATGCTTCTCTGTTCTTGAGATGAAAGGCACATGTCTGTGTTTTAGATGGGTTAGGGATCAGCTGGTTTTCCCTGTAATAGGCAGTAAGAGCACCTAGAGCTTTGGAGAGCTTCTGTTCTACCATCTCAAAGCTCCCTGCTTGAGCAGTAATGGCACGATCATCAGCATAGATAAAACTCTCTGTCCCTTCTGGCAGTTGCTGGTCATTTGTGTAAATGTTGAACATGGATGGAGCAAGCACGCTCCCCTGAGGCAGGCCATTCTTCTGTTTCCGCCACCTGCTTCTTTATAAAAGGTCATTTACTCTCTATAAATAAAAATGTACGTTCGTTTGTTGGCTTCACAGCACTCCAACCCCTGGGGGCCGAATTGGCACCTTGGACACAACACCTAACAACCCAATGTATGTCCTTCACTCATAACACTGAAAAACACAGCAGACTTAAAAGCCCCAAAAAGCTAAATGACAATACAGAAAAAAGGGAAGAAAGAGGAGGAAGGGGAGAAAAAGAAAGAAAGAAAGAAAGAAAGAAAGAAAGAAAGAGGGAGGGAAAGAAAGAAAAGGAAAGGGAGGGAGAGAAGAAGGAGAAGGAAAGGAAGGAAAGAGGAGAAGGAAGAAAGGAGAGAAGAGGGAGGGAAAGAAAAAGGGGCATGAAGGAAAGTTAGAGAAGGAAGGGAGAGAGGAAAGAAAAAAGGGAAAGAAGGAAGGAAAGAGGGAGCAAAGGAAGGGGGAAGATGTAGAGAAAGAGGGAGGGAAGGAAAGAAGGAAAGAGAGAAGGAAGAAAAGAGAGACAATAGGTTCTTGTGGGTTTTTTTGGACTATAGGGCCATGTTCTAGAGGCATTTCTCCTGACGTTTCGCCTGCATCTATGGCAAACATCCTCAGAGGTAGTGAGATCTCCACCTCCTTCTTCCTTCCTTCCTTCTCTTCCCTCCTCCCTCTTTCTCTCGTTTCTTCCTTCGAAAAGAGAGACAGCCGAAGAGAAAGAAAAAGGGGGAAGGAAGGAAGGAAAGAGATAGAGAAGGAAGGAAGAAGAGAAGGAAAGACAGGAAGGAAGGAAGGAAAGAGGGAGTGAAGGAAAGAGGGAAAGAAGGAGAGAAAGAGGGAAGATTGGCCACAGCAACGCGTCTATATAAATAAAAATGTAATATTCGTTTGTGGAATTAACAGAACTCAAAAACCATTGGACGAATTGACACCAAATTTGGACACAAGACACCTAACAACCCAATGTATGTCCTTCACTCAAAAAATTGATTTTCTCATTTGGGAGTTGTAATTGCTGAGATTTATTGTACACCTACAATCAAAGTGCATTCTGAACTCCACCAATGATGGAATTGAACCAATCTTGGGACACAGAACTCCCATGACCAACAGAAAATACTAGAAGGGTTTGGTGGGCATTGACCTTGAGTTTGGGAGTTGTAGTTCACCTACATCCAGAGAGCACTGTGGACTCAAACAATGATGGACCAGGACCAAACTCTACACGAATACACAATATGCCCAAATGTGAACACTGGTAGAGTTTGAGGAAAATAGAATCTTGACATTCGGGAGTTGTAGTTTCTGTGATTTATAGTTCACCTACAGTCAAAGAGTATTCTGAATCCCACCAACGATAGAATTGGGCCAAACCCCCCACACAGAACCCCCATGAGGGCCACAGCAACGTGTGGCAGGGGACGGCTAGTAAGTAATATAAAAGCACAGCAACTACAACTAAAGGAGCACAAGGTGAGCCTGGCTGATAAAAATGCCTTAGCGGCAAAGTGTCAAAGTAAATCAGTTAAGCCGGCAAGCTAGTAAAGCATCTGTGCAAGGAGATGTTTGTGAGGAAATCCTGTTTTGCAAACACTAGGGAAGCCCTAGCTAACAAAGTTTCTCAAGTGTCAAGGTAAACAGTTAAATGGTCAGGTGAATTTAGCCCTGCTGGGAGTTTAGCATCAAGGTGAGGAGGCCTCCCCTTGTTTGACCTTACAAATTCCAATTTTCCAAGTGAACGAGCCCAATAAACACAAGCCAATTATGAAGGTAAAAAGCCAGAGGGCTGTGGGGGTTATTCCGCTTGCTGTGCACTGTATCACATGTAAAACTACCTTGCATTTTGAACAACTCCAAGAAAATGACACTGTGTGCAACACCTATAAAAAAAGGTCAGTTTGTGCTGATGGTCAGTAGGAAAAGAGTCCAGAATAAACCTGCTAGTATCAAAATGCATTTATATGTCCACACTTCTGGTCTCTGTACTTCATAAAGAATATTATAGAACCAAGATGGGGGAAAAGATTAAAATGATAATTACTGCAACGCGCTCTACGTGGGGCTGCCCTTGAAGACGGCCCGGAAATTACAGTTGGTCCAAACATCGGCAGCCAGACTACTTACGGGAGCTGGTTACAGGGAGCGGTCTACCCCCCTGTTTAAACAGCTCCACTGGCTTCCAATAAGTTTCTGGTCCCAATTCAAGGTGCAGGTTGAAGCCCTAAACAGTTCGGGACCTGCTTATCTCCGTGATCGCATCTTCCCCTATGAACCAGTGCATACCTTGAGATCTTCTCTCTCTCCCCCCCCGCCATCTCAAGCCCGGTTGGTGGGGATGAGGGAGAGGGCCTTCTTGGTGGTGGCCCCCCAGCTCTGGAACTCAGAGATCAGACAGGCTTCTACTTTGTCCTCTTTCTGGAGTCAACTAAAAACCTGGATGTTCCGGTGTGCTTTTGATTAAGTCCACCAGTAATTTTCCTGTTCCTACTTTAAGTTCAGCACTTTATACCAGCCTACTTATGGTCTTCTTCAACATGTTTGATGTCATTATTTCCAGTCCTGTCTACTTGATTGTTGCACTTTCCTTACGCTCCTGCCCGAATGTATTGCACTCATTGAGTCCGTACTTCAGCTATGTTCTTTCTTCTCAGCCATATTGTTTTGATGTTGTTTACAATTGTGTTTGTATTTTATTTTTATCTGATGTTTTTAATCAGTTAACGTGTTTTACTTGTGTGTCTTACTTGTAATTTTGGGCTTGTCCCTTGTAAGCCGCCCCGAGTTCCCCTAGGGGAGATAGTTGGTGGGGTGTAAAAATAAAGTTGTTGTTGTTATTATTATTATTTAATTGGAGCAACTATTGAAGTAATTTTAACTTATGGTGACTTGTGTGAGACGTGATGGAAGTGCTGAAAGGTGTACATGTTCTGAAAGAAGTAGGAAGGGAGAATTTATCCACATTCAAGGCAGAGGGGAGGAAACATTTTTTCACAGTGTCTAATTAAACTATGAAATTTGCAACTTCAAGGTCACAAAGATAGGTATTTTAGAATTGATTTAGTCAAATGTATAGGGGAAAATACAAGCGACTGCTATTCATAATGGCTATAAATTATATCTAAGATCAGAGGCAGTATATATTTCTGAGTATTAGCAGTGAAATGTAAACAATGGTAGAAGAAGGCTATCACACTCATGTCCTCCTTGTGAGATTTTCCTCCATATCTGGCTAGCAACAGTGGGAAACTGAGGCCCCTTCTATAGGTAAAGGTTTTCTCCTGACATGGTCCAGTTGTGTCCAACCCTGGGGTGTGGTGCTTATCTCCATTTCTAAGCCGAGGAGCCGGCGTTGTCCGTAGACACCTCCAAGGTCATGTGGTTGGCATAATTGAATGGAGCGCGGTTACCTTCCCGCCGGAGTGGTACCTATTGATCTACTCTCATTTGCATGTTTTCAAACTGCTAGGTTGGCAGAAGCTGGGGCTGACAGCGGAAGCTCGTGCCACTCCCTGGATTCGAACCTGTGACCTTTCAATCAACAAGCTTAGCAGCTCAGTGGTTTAGCCCACTGCGCCACCGGGGGCCCCTTCTATACTGTCATATAAATGTAGATGATCTGCTTTGAACTGGATTATATGGCAGGGCCTTCTCGGTGGTGGCTCCTCGACTCTGGAACTCTCTCCCTAAGGACATCAGGCATGCCCCAACGTTGGCAATTTTTAGGAGGAGCTTGAAAAAGTGGTTGTTCCAGTGTGCATTCCAGAATAGGGAAACTCCAAGCAATATGTCCCGAAATGCACTTTACTAGAGACCCAGGATATCCGCATGCCCCATCCCCCTCCAAATACTTACCCTTTTCACCTGGTCATGCCCAGCATATTTTTAATTTTAACTATTACATTTGGCCCTGCCATGGATTTTAATGCGTCGTTGTGTTTTGTTAATGTTTATTGCTTTGTTTTGAGTTAATTTTGTTGTGTTGTTGTTGTGTTTTTACTGATGTATTTGGCTCGGCCTCTTGTAAGCCGCACCGAGTCCTCCAGGAGATGGTAGCGGGGTACAAATAAAGGTATTATTATTATTATTATTATTATTATTATTATTATCCAAAACAGATTATGTGGATTATCTGCTTTGATAATCTGGATTATATGGCAAAGTAGAAGGGGCCTGAGTGTTTGAGTAGATTCTTGGTGATTTAATCTGGCTTGGATCTTATGATTATAACAGGGATATACCTAGAATTCTAATCTGGAACAAAGATCCCTTTCCTATCTCTCGGCCCGGGGATTCTGGGAGCTGTAATTTAAAAACATTGTATTTCCAAGATCTGTCAAGTGACTACTACTAAATGTGTCAGAATTTTCCTACATATAAAAGAAAAAAATGATTAAAATTTAGGAAATCAAAAGTTACACTGCAAATGCCATTCTGAGTTCAAATATGATAGTAAAAAATGTTTAAAAAATGTAAAAAAATGAGTTGGAGATCAACTCCATTTAAAAGTATATATATGTGTGTGTATGATTTGGTTGCTGCAAAGATGCCTGTTGCATGTCTCTCATTTTATATATATAAAAAAATCTTTCTCCATATCAGACACGGAAGCTGTCCAAGGTGGAACGGCAGCGCTTCAGCGAGGAGGTGGAGATGCTGAAGGGGCTCCAGCACCCCAACATTGTGCGTTTCTATGACTCATGGAAGTCTTCCGTCAAAGGACAAGTCTGCATTGTGTTGGTCACCGAACTCATGACGTCAGGAACCCTCAAAACGTGAGTACATGGTGATGTGAGAGGAGGGAAGGAGTAGTAACTTGGTAGAGGTGAGGACGTGGGACTCCCAAAGCTTTTTCCTCTTTCAAGGTGTAGCAAAGCCCTTCTCCTGACAGGAAGGAGCTCTGTGTAAGGATGCAAACTACAAATTACAATGACTGGGAAAAGTGCAGCCCAGTATCTGTTTTCCCATCTGAGATTTTCTTGGTTATCCCTTTTTGGGGCATAAAACCAGTCCTGCATTGTTTTTTTTTTTAAAAAAAAAACTTTTTAAGTTCATTAATCCGACCCACTACAGGCAATCCTTTTTTGTTGTATAAGTGGTTTCCATACAATGCTAAATTCACTGAAAATTCCCATAATCCCCACTCCTGCAATGACGTTTGGTACCACTTTTACTGTTGCGGCTCCATCCTATAGAATTCTGCACTTTATTCATTTATTTATTTACTATATTTATATACCGCCCCTCTCAGCCCAGAGGCAACTCGGAGCGGTTCACAAATTGACAACAATTCCATGCCTCAACAATTATAACAAGTTAAAAACAATAGCATATATATAATATAATCTATATAAATAAAAATGTAATGTTCATTTGTGGGATTAACATAAGTCAAAAACCACAACGAATTGACACGAAATTTCAACACAAGACACCTACTAACCCAAGGAGTGACCATCACTAAAAAAAAATGATTTTGTCATTTGGGAGTTGTAGTTGCTGGGATTTATAGTTCACCTACAATCAAAGAGCATTCTGAACTCCACCAACGATGGAATTGAACCAAACTTGGCACACAGGACTTCCAAGACCAACAGAACACAGTAGAAGAGTTTGGTGGGCATTGACCTTGAGTTTGGGAGTTGTGGTTCACCTACATCCAAAGAGCACTGTGGACTCAAACAATGATGGATTTGGACCAAACTTGGTACAAATATTCCACATGCCCAAATACAGATAGAATTTGAGGGAAATAGACCTTGACATTTGGGAGTTGCAGTTACTGGGATTTATAGTTCACATATAATCAAAGAGCATTCTGAACCCCACGAACGACAGAATTGCAAACTTCCCACACAGAACCCCCATGACTAACAGAAAATACTTAAGGCCATCCAGTCCAACTCCCTTCACCAGGGCAAGAAAACCCCTCCTGACAAAGAGCCATCCAGCCATAGATATAGATAGATATATATGATTCACACACAGAGAGAGATATAGTAGTTGTAAGGCATTGGATTTTTGTCATTATCTATGCGTAAACCGCTTTGAGTCCCCCTAGGGGTGAGAAAAGCGGTATATAAATCCTGTAAATAAATAAATAAATAAATAAAAATAATAATAGTATCCTAGATTTGAAAGGGACCCATAAAGAAGGACAATTATATGTTGCATATTCCAGAGTAGGCAAACTAGACGGATGTTGAAAATTAGGGGTGAGATTTTTAGAGCCAGTAAAGAATAGTTATTGAGAAGCGTTAGGTTGCCATTAGGGACATGAGATTCCTCTGACATGTAATGAATGAGACAGAATAATAATAATAATAATAATAATAATAATAATAATAATAATAATCCAGACAATCTCCACATCAACACTGACAAAGAAACAGCAAGAAATACTGTTTACCCACATAAAGAAATTACATATATTAGAAACCATGACTTTCTCATTATTTTATTTCCAGATCACCAGACTGGGCCACAGCAATGCGTGGCAGGGGACAGCTAGTATGATATAAAAATATAAAAACCGTACAAAGCCTTAAAACATTATCGTGAGTGTCTCCATGTCAAGTCATTATTCCATTGCGTTATCAAGTAATTCCCTAATTGTGTTGTTGTAGGTTTTTCCGGGCTATATGGCCATGTTCTAGAGGCATTTTCTCCTGACGTTTTTTCTGCATCTATGGCAAGCATCCTCAGAGGTATGCTTGCCATAGATGCAGGCGAAACGTCAGGAGAAAATGCCTCTAGAACATGGCCATATAGCCCGGAAAAACCTACAACAACCCAGTGATTCCGGCCATGAAAGCCTTCGACAATTCCCTAATTCCGTATAGCTATGCCGTATTTGGGAAGGCCTGCTCAAAAAGCCAGATTTTCACCTTTTTTCGAAAAGTCAGGAGGGAGGGACCCAATGTTATATCTCTAGGCAAGCTGTTCCACAGTCGAGGGGCCACCACTGAGAAGGCCCTGTCTCTCATCCCAGCCAGACGCCTTTGCGAGGAAGGCGGGACCGAGAGCAGGACCTCCCCAGAAGATCTTAACATCCTAGATGGTTCATAAGGAGAGATACGTTTGGATAGGTAAGTTAGACCGAAACCGAACATATCTTTGTAGTTTGGTAACTTGTTCAGAATTCCCTGTCATAAAAACCTCTAGGGTTCTAGTTAGTGAAGTAACCCAGAGCTGTCTAGTAAAGCATTGTTGGTTCCTCACCAACCTCAACCCCTTAGTGTCTTAGATTGGATCCCTCCTAGTTGCAATGGTATAAAATTCGTATAAATATATAGTGCAGACAGACATGCAAAGTAATGAGAACTCCAGCTGGAACACCCCTCTCTGGATCTGGCAAGTGTATGGGAGGGAAGAAAAGAGGAAATGATGTCATCCAGGTTCAGCAAGTGTGCTTCATAGCCACAATTACAGTGATTATGTTTTTCCCCTGTAACGGCTATAGTTGAATTTCTCTCTCTGCATGCGCAACCGAGAACTACCTCTTTTGTTTCATGCAGGAAGGCAGTGATCCTGTTCTGCAAAAAATGTTTGAGTCATAGTGGCAATATTTGGAGTGGCATGCCTTCTTTATGTGTAGACAACACATTTCCCCACCATTGAGAGAGGCAGGAAGAGAGTGGTATAATAGGGCATTTCCCACAAGGCCCAGTATTAAGATACAGAAAATATTATGAAAGGGAGATATGGTAACCATTTGCAGCAGTAAGCCCAGGGCCCTTCCACACAGCCTTATAACATAGAATATCAAGGCAGATAATCCACAATATCTGCTTAGAACTGGGTTATCTGAGTCCACACTGCCATATAATCCAGTTCAATGTGGGAGGGGCCCCAGAGTTTGGAAAGGTTACTTTTAGAGTATAGCTCCCAGAATATCTTACTTTACAGAGCAGGGAAAGCCTTCGCACAATTAAAACCCGCGTGCCTCGTGAAGTCTGACTTCACCACGGTGGTCCACGCCTTAGTTACCTCTAGACTGGACTATTGCAGTGCACTCTACATTGGGCTTCCCTTGAAGATGGCCTGAAAACTCCAATTGGTCCAACATTTGACAGCCATACTACTAACTGGGCGAATTACAGGGAGCTCCATTGGCTGCCGTTCATCTTCCGGTCCCAATTCAAGGTGCAGATTATCACCTATAAAGCCCTGAATAGTTTGGAACCCACCTACCTTCGTGAGCGCATCTCCTACCATAAACCTGCATGATCTCTTTGATCCTCTGGAGAGGCCCTCCTTTTGCCCCTTCCTCCATCACAAGTACAATTTGTGGGAGTGAGGGAGAGAGCCTTCTCCGCTGTGGCCCCTCGGCTTTGGAACTTGCTACCTGGTGAGATTAGGCAGCCCCCCACCCTAGCTGCCTTTAAGAACGATCTAAAAACTTGGCTCTTCCAATGTGTCTTTGGTGAGTGACCATATATCCCATTTCTGACGTCCTCATGATGCACTTTCCCCATCCTTAATGAAGCCCTAACCCCACTGTTTGTCCCTTATGAGCTCGTCCCTCACAAATACACTTTTCTACTCCTATCTCATCCAGGGTTCTATCATTTTATCTTTTGCATTTGGCCCACCCATTGTGTTCTATTTTTCATTATGTCATTTTGCACTGCTTATTTTATCCTGTTACTTTATGTATTTTATTGTGATGTATTGTAGCCGCTCCTAGTCGTATTTGGGGAGATGGTGGCAGGGTATAAATAAAGATGATGATAATGATTATTATTATTATTATCAGGGCCGTAGCCAGAAAAAAATTTCGGGAGGGGTTGAAATTTTCGGGGGGGGGGGGGGGTGGAAATTTCGGGGGGGATAGCACCACATTGCCTAGCTCACGCTGAAGCAAAGAGCACAGCAGGGGGCAGAGCAGCCTTCAATAGCCTGCAGCTCCGCCCTTGTCAACCACCTCCACCAAGTCTGGCCTCCTTAATGAGAGCATTCAACACCCCCCCCCAACTTGGTTGCTTCACTACTGTTCTGTGCGCTGGGCCTGTAAATAATTGTCTTTAGAACAGGATGTGCAATCTTTGCCCAGCGGGAAGCCAGGGGGCCTAAAGAGAAGTTCTCAGAGGTTCCACCACAAACAGTCTTTAGATGGCTTGAGAAGTACAACAAAGTCTTTTATTAATGAACAATCAAACAGAAACTTCTCTTGTCTTCAGTAAAGTTAAGCAAATGATTCCAAGCTTTTAGGCAACTGGTGAATTCCTAATCTTGCCCAAGAAGGGCAGGCAACTGTCTTCAATATTCTTTAAAGGAAAATCCCCTTTTTAACTTCTCCCAGGCTGACTGTAATCTAACCCTTACTGATGTGGGCTCCGCTACCGGGTCGAACTGCATCTCGAACGCTGAGTGGACCTACCAGCAAGGCAGTAGATGTTCTCCAGCTGGAGTTCTTTGGTCTTTAGGGCTGTTTTCCTGGAAATTCTTTGGAGACTCTTAAGACCTTTCTCCCCCGGAAGGTCTTAAGGGTTGAAGCTTTTGTACAGGGGAAGCTTGCACACATCCTATACATAAGCTTACCTTGCTGAGACTAACTAAAAATGGCTCCCTTCCCTTCCCAATTGCCCTGAGCAAGGGGCGGAACCAAAACTTAACAATGATGGACAGGTGACTTGCCCTATGACTGCAACCAAAGAAGCCACCTATCTGCAGAGTCCCTGAAACCTGGGACTGCAAGCAAACATTTAATACAAAGCAAATAAAGTTGGAGCTCTTGGTACAGCTGTACCAGAACAACTACATCGGCTATTGCTGCAAGTAATGACAGTGTGAATAAATTGTCAATATTTGCTTGAGATAGTGCTTAGTTCTGGAGGGACTCTTAATTTTTTGCATCTCATAGACTTAGCATGGGGATTTGGTTAACCAGTTAAAATTCATGAGTAAACCAGGTTTTTTTAAAAAAAATCTGAAACATTTCGGAGGGGGGTTGAACCCCTAACCCCCCCCCCCTCGCTACGGGCCTGGTGACAATCCATTTTCCTGTGGATATTATATTATTACTGCTATTAAAATTGTGCAGTTTGGCCTTCATATCCTTGGGGATTGGTCCCAGGACCCTACAGCTATACCATTCTTGGATGCTCAAGTCTCCAAAATAAAAAAGAAACTCTTAACACCACCCCAATCCCTTCCACCAAGGGTATTTTTCCAAGCTCAGAATGACTGTTGTTCTCTTTAGTTCCTTGTGAGTTTGGTAAGTGGGAGGAACTTGAGGGTGGGGGTGGGACACTGATCACACTCCTGACATACTGAATTTGCTGGTCTGTAGATAAAAATGACAGCAATAACAAAGAAGGGTTGTTTAGGATCTACCATAGGAACCAAGGTCTAATTTTTCCCCATTCTAAAAAGGTGGGGATCACAATGGGTCGTGTTGATGAGAAAAGTGGCCCTGAATCTGATTCCATCTCCTTTTTGTAGATATCTGAAGCGCTTCAAGGAGATGAAGCTGAAGGTCCTTCAACGCTGGAGTAGACAGATCTTGAAGGGACTGCATTTTCTACACACCCGATCTCCCCCAATCATCCACCGGGACCTGAAATGTGACAATATTTTCATCACGGGCCCCACTGGCTCAGTCAAAATTGGAGACCTTGGTTTAGCTACACTCAAGCGTGCATCATTTGCCAAGAGTGTCATAGGTACGTGATGGGTAGAAGATGACTAGTAGAATGTGTGGATGCTCAAGATGTGTTCCATTAGCCCTGTCTTTTCCATCTATATTGGGTTATAAATAGAACAGGGATAGATAAAGTTTAGTGATTAAAACTAGACTAAAACAAAATGATAAATGCTAGGAAAGTGTGGAGAATGTTCAATTTCCTGTTAATTAAATGTTCTGTAGCAACACTAGAAACAGACCAATTACATATGTTCAGAAACCTGTCCATTTCAGTACTTTAAAAGTGTGTATAAAGGCAGAAAAATGTCTACATTTGTTCTGTCGCGTGCTGGGCCTGTAAATAGTTGTCTTTAAAACAGGACATGCAACCTTTGCCCAACGGGAAGCCGGGGGCCTAAAGAGAAGTTCTCAGAGGTTTCCACCACAAACAGTCTTTGGATGGCTTGAGAAGTACAACAAAGTCTTTTATTAATGAACAATCAAACAGAAACTTCTCTTGTCTTCAGTAAAAATAAGCAAATGATTCCAAGCTTTTAGGTAACTGGTGAATTCCTACTCTTGCCCACGAAGGACAGGCAGCTGTCTTCAATAACTTCTTCTTTACTTTAAAGGAAAATCCCCTTTTTAACTTCTCCCAGGCTGACTGTAAACTTAAACCTAACTGATGTGGGCACCACTACCGGGTTGAACTGCGTCTCAAAGCACTGAGTGGACCTACCAGCAAGGCCTGTAGTCTCTTCAGCTGGAGTTCTTTGATCTTTAGGGCTGTTCTCCCCCAGAAAGTCTTCAAAGCTTTGGGGATGCTTCCCTGGAAATGCTTTCCCTGGGAATTCTTTCCCTTCTGTTTCTGTTGGAATTTCTGTAACCCTGGAAATTCTTAAAGGTTGAAGCTTTTGTACAGGGGAAGTTACACACATCCTATACATAAGCTAACCTTGCTGAGACCAACTAAAAATGGCTCCCTTCCCTTCCCAATTGCCCTGAGCAAGGAGCGGGACCAAACTTAATGATGATGGACAGGCGGCTTGCCCTATAACTGCAACCAAAGAAGCCACCTATCTGCAGAGTCCCTGAAACTTAGGACTGCAAACATTCAATGCAAAGCAAAAAAAAATTGGAGCTCCTGGTACAGCTGTACCAGAACAACATTTCAAAAATGTATGCAAAGATGGCAGGTATATGCAAATTGTGCTTCCGCATGGAAAAGTTATCTACAAAAATGCTCAAATGTTTTTAAAAATGTGAAAGAAATAATAATAATAATAATTATTATTATTATTATTATTATTATTATTTATACCCCGCCACCATCTCCCCAAAGGGACTCGGGGCGACTTACATGAAGCCAAGCCCAGCAATACAACAATGCAAATGTACAACATAAGAATACAACAATCTATATAAATAAAAATGTAATGTTCGTTTGTGGGATTAACATAACTCAAAAACCACTGGACGAATTGCCGCCAAATTTGGCGACAAGACACCTACTAACCCAAGGAGTGACCATCACTCAAAAAAATTGTGTTTGTCATTTGAGAGTTGTAGTTGCTGGGATTTATAGTTAACCTACGATCAAGGAGCATTCTGAACCCCACCAACGATGGAATTGAACCAAACTTGGCAGACAGAACTCCCACGACCAACAGAAAATACTGGAAGGGTTTGGTGGGCAGTGTCCTTTGGTTTTGGAGTTGTAGTTCACCTATATCCAGAGATCACTGTGGACTCAAACAATGATGGATCTGGACCAAACTCTACACGAATACTCAATATGCCCACTGGTGGAGTTTGGGGAATTTGGGAGTTGTAGTTGCTGGGATTTATAGTTCACCTACAATCACAGAGCATTCTGAACCCCACCAACGATAGAACCAAACCTCCCACACAGAACCCCTTATGTGGGCCACAGTAACGCGTGGCAGGGGATGGCTAGTAAAATATTAAAAATACAGTAAAATACAAGAAACAGTATAAATAAACACAACGGACAATTTAAACTCACAATATTTTAACACAGAGAATTGATCATAAAATCCCCCCTAGCTACACCCCCCCCCCCAAGTGTACATGGAAACAACACATCGAGGAAGGAAAAGGAGAACAGTCCCACAATTCTCAGTTGTGCTTAATGCTTATTTATACACCAGCCAGCTGAAGTCCAGTTAAAATATCAAACTCTTGCATTATCTCTGGAGGATACTCAGACTTGTTTTGGTGCCTCTGAAGACTGGGAGTTGTACGAATGAGGAGCAGTTGCCAAGAATACCTCTGTGCTTGCTCTCCTAGCATTTTTAAAAGAAAATAAATCAGGTACACAGATAGCATTATCAAGAATGTTTTGCTTGGATTGCAGAATTGTTGGAGAAGAAGCAATCGTTCAGAAGTGCTATCCCGAAAGTATTTATGGGTCAAACGAGGTACCTTAAAGTATGTCCCGAAGGTCCCTAGAAGTCTGTTCAGCTATATTACAGAATGTATTATTGTTCATTGTGCAATAAGGGATTTCGTGTGGGGTTTTGTGAAGGGCCTAAATAATGTAAAGGCACCAGATCCTATTTCATTTTGGAAGCTAAGTAGTGGTGTGGGCTGTATTTCAGAGGAAGATGTCATAGAATCATAGAATCAAAGAGTTGGAAGAGACCACATGGGCCATCCAGTCCAACCTTCTGCCAAGAAGCAGGAATATTGCATTCAAATCACCCCTGACAGATGGCCATCCAGCCTCTGTTTCAAAAGCTTCCAAAGAAGGAGCCTCCACCACACTCCGGGCAGAGAGTTCCACTGCTGAACGGCTCTCACAGTCAGGAAGTTCTTCCTCATGTTCAGGGAAATCCTGGGAAGTCATGCTACTCCTCTTCTCCAGGGCAGCAGAAAACAAGCTTGCTCCCTCCTCTCTATGACTTCCTCTAACATATTTATACATGGCTATCAGTTCTCTCTCAGCCTTCTCTTCTTTGGGCTAAACATGCCCAGTTCTTTAAGCCACTCCTTATAGGGCTTGTTCTCCAGATCCTTAATCATCCTCTGGACACATTCCAGCTTGTCAATGTCTCTCTTGAATTGTGGTGCCCATTTCAAAGTGTTCCTTGTCTAACGAAACTCTATGACAGCAATGGTTACCATAAGTAGACAGGTGGCTTTAAAGGACATACACACACAGAGGAGCAGAAGATGAGTTAATTTTGCTAAGGGTTTAAGTCTCAAGGTAAGAAAACCTTCCTTCCTCTTCTTCCAGGAACTCCTGAATTCATGGCCCCAGAGATGTACGAGGAGAAATATGATGAAGCCGTGGATGTTTACGCATTTGGCATGTGCATGCTGGAAATGGCAACCTCGGAGTACCCCTATTCGGAATGTCAGAATGCAGCTCAGATCTATCGCAAGGTCACCTCGGTGAGAGAGGGAGGGAGGGAGAGGGAGTGGAAAGGGTTGGAGAGAGAGAAGGGAGAGGACAGCCTTTGCTTTTTTTCCAAAGCTTGGATTGACACCTTTCCATTATGGGTTCAACCCCTTAAACCAGGGGTCCACAAACTTTTTAAACAGAGGGCCAGGTCATAGCCCCTCAAACTGTTGGAGGGCCGGATTATAATTTGGAAAAAAAAAATGAATGAATTCCTATGCACAGTGCATGTATCTTATTTGTAGTGCAAAAAACACTTTAGAACAATATAATAATTAAAATAAAGAACAATTTTAACAAACTTATTAGTATTTCATTGGGAAGTGTGGGCCTGTTTTTGGCTGATGAGATAGGATTGTTGTTGTTGTTGTTGTTGTTGTGTGCTTTCAAGTCATTTCAGACTTAGGTTGCCCTGAGCGAGGGCCGGGTAAATGACCTTGAAGGGCCGTATTTGGCCCCCGGGCCGTAGTTTGAGGACCCCTGCCTTAAACTGTTCACATGTGACAAAAAGGAGTAAGGAAGCTTTCTGGTAATAGGATTTCAACAAATCTGGAACTACTTGATGAAGGTTTGGACATTAGGAAGGAGGGTGTTGAAAATCAGGGGTGAGATTTTTAGGACCAGTAAAGAATAGTTATTGAGAAACGTTGGGTTGCCATTAGGGATATGAGATTCCTCTGACATGTAACTGACCAGACAGAAGCTCTAATGCAACCCACATTTAGGTTTTGACCAACTGCTTTCCTGGTGAATTGAAATATTTCTATATTGCTCTAAGGTCCCAACTACACTGCCAGATAAAATCCAGATTATCTGCTTTAAACTGTATTGTATTAGTCTACACTGCCAGTTTCAGAACAACAACTATTTCTGTTTTATAGACTATTCTAAAGCCTTTGACTGTGTGGATCATAATAAATTGTGGCAAGTTCTTGGTGGATGGGCATACCAAATCACCTTGTCTCTCTCCTGAGGAATCTGTATAAGGACCAAGTAGCAACAGTAAGAACTGACCATGGATCAACAGACTGGTTCAAGATTGGGAAAGGCGTACGGCAGGGTTGTATACTCTCACCCAACTTATTCAACTTGTATGCAGAACACATCATGCGATGTGCGGGGCTTGAGGAATGCAAGGCTGGGGTGAAAATTGCTGGAAGAAACATTAACAACCTTAGATATGCAGATGACACCACTTTGATAGCCAAAAGCGAGAGGGAGCTGAGGAGCCTTCTAATCAAGGTGAAAGAAGAAAGGCAAAAGCTGGGTTGCAGTTAAACATAAAAACCCCAAGATTATGGCAACCGGACTGATTGATAACTGGCAAATAGAGGGAGAAAACGTGGAGTCAGTTGCAGACTTTGTATTTCTAGGTGCGAAGATTACTGCAGGTGCAGACTGCAGCCAGGAAATTGGAAGATGCTTACTTCTTGGGAGTAATGACCAATCTCGATAAAATAGTGAAGAGTAGAGACATCACACTGGCAACAAAGATCTGCATAGTTAAATCAATTGTATTCCCCGTAGTAACCTACGGATGTGAGAGCTGGACCTTAGGGAAGGCTGAGCGAAGAAAGATAGATGCTTTTGAACTGTGGTGTTGGAGGAAAGTTCTGAGAGTGCCTTGGACCGCCAGATCCAACCAGTCCATACTTCAGGAAATAAAGCCTGACTGCTCATTGGAGGGAAGGATAGTAGAGGCAAAGATGAAGTACTTTGGCCACATCATGAGAAGAAAGGAAAGCTTAGAGAAGAGTATGATGCTGGGGAAAATAGGAGGAAAAAGGTAGAGGGGCTGACCAAGGGCAAGATGGATGGATGGTATCCTTGAAGTGACTGGCTTGACCCTAAAGAAGATGGGGGAGGTGACAGCCGACAGGGAGCTCTGGCGTGAGATGGACCATGAGGTCACAAGGCGTTAGAAGTGACTGAACGAATGAACAACAACAACACTGCCATATAATCCAGTTCAAAACAGATAATCTGGATATTTTCTGGTAATGTAGATGGGGTCTAAGACTGGACACTTATCACCTTCTGTGTTTTTTTAAATAGGAGAGCAACTTGATGGGCCAAACATTGGAGTTGTCTAGACCATAGAACTGATGCAGTTTGATACATTAACTTGCACACTGCTATGGAATCAATTCTACAAGGTCTTTAGCTGCTAAATAATGCTGGTGCCTCACCAAATACAACTCCCATCATTCCACAGCATTGGGCCATAGCAATTAAAACGTTGTCAAACTGTATTAATTCTACAGTGTAGCTGTATCCTAATACTGAATAGTCAATGTCATGTTTTTAAAGACGAAGGAAAGATACCAAAATGTTCATTTAGGCCTCTTATTTTGTTTCTTTTTTATCCTGCTTCACTATTCAAACCTACTTTAATAATAATAATAAACTTTATTTGTACCCCGCTACCATCTCCCCAAGGGACTCGGTGCGGCTTACATGAGGCCAAGCCCAAAATACATCAATAAACAAAACATCAATAACACATCAATAAAACAATCAATAAAATACAAATCATATCATACTTTTCTTTTATCCAGATGTTCACTCTCCTTTGTCCAAGACCTTTCAAACCATACAATTGTAACACCTTAAATCCACTTTAGTTGTCATGACTGCATCCTGTGGAATCATATTTGTAATTGTGTGAGGTGTTTTGAATTATGTGCCAAATGGCATTTGCTCCTCCTTAGGCTACAATTTCCATAGGATGCAAACATGACAATTACAGGGGAATTGCTGCTTTACAATTGTGTAGGGTGAAAGCATCATATGTGACTGGATCATTTGTGGTTTCTCAGGGCCCTTCTACACAGCCATATAACCCAGAATATCAAGGTCGATAATCCACAGTATCTGCTTTAAACTGGATTAAGTTTTTTGTGTTTTTTTGTCGTGTCAGGAGCGACTTGAGAAACTGCAAGTCGCTTCTGGTGTGAGAGAATTGGCCGTCTGCAAGGACGTTGCCCAGGGGACGCCCGGATGATTTGATGTTTTTATCATCCTTGTGGGAAGCTTCTCTCATGTCCCCGCATGAGGAGCTGGAGCTGATAGAGGGAGCTCATCCGCCTCTCCCCGGATTTGAACTTGCGACCTGTCGGTCTTCAGTCCTGCCGGCACAGGGGTTTAACCCACTGCGCCACCGGGGGCTCCTACTGGATTAAGTGAGTCCACACTGCCATATATTCCAGTTCAATTGGGATTTTATAGGCTGTGTGAAAGGGGCCTCAGATACGCTGAGGAGAGGACATAAGTTGAGAGCTCAATACCATCTGATGCCTCTTCATGTAAGTGGGGTGGAAGACACATTCGCCCAATACAAAGCCAAGAGGTTACCAGATATGAAGCCAACTACATCTAATTGCTACCCAACTTCTTACCTTATAGCTTGTACCCTCTTCTTCATTGGAAGGGGTATTGGAAGTGGGCAGTGTTATCTGCCATTGCCATAAGCCTGTACCTCGCTAGTTGATCGTAGAATCATAGAGTTGGAAGAGACCTCATGGACCATCCAGTCCAACCCTGGTGTATTTTCTCTGCAGAGTGTTTCTCTTATGAAACAAGTGATTAATGCTGCTTCCAGTTTTACCACCCCATCCACTCCCTGGCACTGTTTGAGCCTACCCCTTTGTCTCATCTCACGGCAGGGCCTGAAGCCCAACAGCTTTGCCAAGGTGAAGGTGCCTGAGCTGAAGGAGATCATTGAAGGCTGCATCCGGATGAAGAAGAATGAGAGGTAGGAACCAGCACAGCCACTGACAATGGCCTGCATTGTGTTCCTTATTAAAGAAAGTAAGTGTAGGGAATATGGCTTTTAATAATAAGGTATTCAAATTGTATAGTCTTCTGTAAAATTCCAATCCTTGATGAAGACAAGAAAAGAAGTCTTGTGGGAAGACTGGAAACTAGGATACATACCTGAAGACAAGAATATAAAAGATTGCACCTGAGTCTTGGAAATCTTATCCTTATTTATTGCACCATGGTTCAGAAAAGTAGGGCATGTTTTATTTTGATTTTTAAATTATTTGTGAGAAGAATCCTGCTGTATCAGACCATTGTATTTTTATGTATTTTTGTACACATTTTTCCACCAGGTAAAGTTATTTTGCACACATTGTTTTGCACACATGTCCATGACTAAAGTGGCAATATACACACACTAGCCATTCCCTGCCACGCGTTGCTGTGGCCCAGTCTGTTGATCTGGAAAATAAACTAATGAGAAAGTGTTGGTGTCTAATATATGTAATTATTTCTGCTTGTGGGTAAACAGTATTTCTTGTTGTTTCTTTGTCAGTGTTGATGTGGAGATTGTCTGGTTTGCCCACTCTGGAACATGCAACATATCATCATCCTTCTTTAGGGGTCCCTTTCAAATCTATGATACTATATGTGTGTGTGTATGACTCATATATATCTATCTATATTTATGGCTGGATGGCTCTTTGTCAGGAGGGCTTTGACTTCGTTTTCTTGCCCTGGTGAAGGGAGTTGGACTGGATGGCCTTAAGTATTTTCTGCTGGTCATGGGGGTTCTGTGTGGGAAGTTTGCCGTTTGTGGGGTTCAGAATGTTCTTTGGTTGTAGGTGAACTATAAATCCCAGTAACTACAACTCCCAAATGTCAAGGTCTATTTCCCCCAAACTCCATCTGTGTTCGTATTTGGGCATATGGAATATTTGTACCAAGTTTGGTCCAGATCCATCATTGTTTGAGTTCACAGTGCTCTCTGGATGTAGGTGAACTGCAACTCCCAAACTCAAGGTCAATGCCTACCAAACCCTTCTAGTGTTTTCTGTTGGGCATGGGAGTCTTGTATGCCAAGTTTGGTTCAATACCATCTTTGGTTGAGTTCAGAATGCTCTTTGATTGAAGGTGAACTATAAATCCCAGCAACTACAACTCCCAAATGATTGTGATGGTCACTCCTTGGGTTAGTAGGTGTCTTGTGTACAAATTTCGGGTCAGTTCATCCCATGGTTTTTGAGTTATGTTAATCCCACAAACGAACATTACATTTTTATTTATATACATATACACATACATGTCCTTGCCACTTTAGTGTCTGTGTGTGTGTCCTTGCTACTTTTGTCACGGACATGTATTTAAACAAACATATGCATGAAGTTGTCTTGAAAACACCACAAGTCTTGAAAATGTACAGATTTCTAAGACAAGATTAGCTGCATTCCACTGTAAGTCGTGGAAGGTGTGAAATTGATATTTCCTGTTGGAGATACAAATCCAATTCTTTTCTTTTCCATTTCTATTCATGGTAAGTAGTGCTTGAGAGACCTGTTCTCCAAAAAATGGTTTAACTCCTTTTATAGCAACCAAGGCTAGTGGCATTATTCATACAGCACTTACGTACTTGGCATAGCACACTTACTTTTGCCTGGTCTTTCATTCATTCTCTATTCTTTCCTTTCAGATACACCATCCAGGATCTTCTGGATCACGCCTTCTTCCAAGAGGACACAGGGGTCCATGTAGAGCTGGCAGAGGAAGATGATGGAGTCAAGTCCAACCTGAAGCTTTGGTTAAGGATGGATGACACAAAAAAGCTGCATGGAAAGTATAAAGACAACAATGCCCTGGAGTTCCATTTCGAGCTCTACAAGGATGTGGCTGAAGAAGTTGCCCAGGAAATGGTACATCTTGTCATAATTCATAGGGTGGGATGGAGAAGTGAGAAAATTGAATCTGGTTGTCTGGGAATTATGAAGCTTTATGGAGGAGCAGTGAGTTAAGACCAAACATCCATCCCCATTGGCTATGCTAGTAAGTGCAGAGAGGAGCTGTAGGCCATAAAACATGTTGAAGATCCCATTGCTGATGTAAAGACAGCTCTGAACTCTGGTTTATTTTCTTCTATTGGCTCTTTCGGTGTTGAGCTGTCATACTAAGTACATAGTATGTACTTAGGTTCTTTTTAAATGTTTCTAGGGTTTCCTAATCTCTTTCCTATCTCATCCTGAATTTTATCATTTTATCTCATACATGGGATTGATTCTGCATTGGGATTGATTCTGCATTGTATTATTTTGTATTGTTTGATTGTATTCTTATGTTTTTATTATTTAATTGTGATGTTTGTTTTGTTGCTCTGGTTTTATTTTGTTGTAATGTGCTGTTAGGCTTGGCCTCACGTAAGCCGCCCCGAGTTCCCTTTGGGGAGATGGTGGCGGGGTATAAATAAAGATTATTATTATTATTATTATTATTATTATTATTATTATTATTATTTTGTTTACTCCATATACTTTGGTGATGTTTCTTGGAAACCGCCCTGAGTCCCCTTGGGGAGCTAGAGCGGTATATAAATAAAGTTTTATTATTTATTATTTTAACAGTTCGGGCCCCGCCTATCTCCACGATCGCATCTCCTTCTATGAACAGGCGTGAGCTCTAAGATGTTCTGGGGAGGCTCTCCTCTCTGTCCCACTACCATCTCAAGCGCGGTTGGTGGGGATGAGAGAGAGGGCCTTCTCAGTGGTGGCCCCCCCTCTGGAACGCCCTTCCAAGGGAAATAAGACAGGCCCCATCCCTCCCCTCCTTTCGTAAGAGCTTGAAGACCTGGTGGTTTCAACAAGCCTTTGAAAATGACCAGTTCTAACTCAGCCCTACACATTGTCGAATACGGCCTTATTCTTCCTACCAGTTACCCAGATTCTTTCCTCTAATCGGCCCCGGAATGAACAGCCACATACCCGGACCTAATATTATTGTTGCCTGCCATAGCATTGCACTTAATTCCTGGGGGCCCTAGAATTTTTGGGCTTGCACAAATAAAGTTCTATTATTATTATTATTATTATTATTATTATTATTATTATTATTACTACTACTACTACTACTACTAGCTGTACCCGCCACGCGTTGCTGTGACCAACCTTCCCTCCCTCTTTCTCTCCTCCCTCTCCTTCCTTTCCTCTTTTTCTTTCCTCTCTCTCTTCTTCTCTACCTGTTTCTTTCCTTCTTCTTTGCTCTTTGGTTACATCCTTCCTTGCTCCTTTTTTCCTTCCTCCTCCTTCTTCTTTTTCCTTCCTTTTTCTTTCTCTTTCCTTTTCTCTTCTTTCTTTCCTTCCTCTTTCCCTCCCTCTTCTCTTTCCTTCCTTCCCATTTTCCCTCCTCTTGTTACTTCTTGACTGTCCCTTCCATTTAATATTGTATTTATCTCTTAGAAAGAAGGAAAGGAAGAAGGAAGGAAGGAGGGACAGGAAGGAAGGGAGGGAGGGAGGGAGGAGGGAGGAAAGAGGGAAAGAAAGAAGGGGGGTGAAGAAAGGAGGGAGGGAAGGAAATGAAGGGGAAGGAAATGAAGAAAGGGAAAGAAGGAGGAAAGGGAGGGAGGGAGGAAAAGAAGGAAAGGAAGGAGGGACGGAAGGAAGGAAGGGAAGGAGGGAAAGAAGGAAAGGAAGGAGAAGGAAGAAAAGGAAAGAAAGGAAGGAAGGAAAGGGAGGAAAGAAGGGAAGGGAGGGAGAGAAGAAGGTCCTTCATTCAAGCACCGTGGACCTTCCTCCTCCCCCTCCCCCCTCCTTGCGTGGATGCTCCATGGATGCTTTCCCAACAGGGAAAGGAGGAAGAGGAGACTGCTCTCTTGACATAGGAGGGAAAGAGAAGGGGCTGCATGCGGCGTGCCTCCACCTCCACTCCACTCGGTTGTGTGTGTGTGTGTGGCCGTGCACGTGTGCCTGGCTTTAACAGCTGTTTCCCCGCGAGGAGGAGGGGGCGTGGCCATGGGTCTCTGTAGACATGCAGTTTCCCCTTTGTGGACATGCAGTTTAGAAGTCCTTTCTGCTTTTTGTTTTCGTTGTTTTTGAGTGGAGAACATACATTGGGTTGTTAGGGACATAGTGTCCAAATTTGGTGTCAATTGCCCCAATGGTTTTTGATTTCTGATGGCATCACAAACGAACATTACATTTTTATTTATATAGATTATCACTCCATTGATCTAGACACATCTGTCAATGATGTGGAAAGCCTCATTTTCAATTAAATACCCAAGTCAGACCATGGAAAATTACACTAACCTTCATTCAGAATGCTCTGCCTCTCAGTGGATAAGATCTTGCTTCCAGGAGTGTAATGTAGTTTGCCAGACAGTGTTGTGTATACTCGGGTAACAGGCTGTTCTTACCCTCTGCTCTTCCCTTATTGATCCCACTCACCTCCCATGCAGGTGGTCTTGGGTTTTGTGTGTGAGGCAGACTACAAGCTGGTGGCCAAAGCTGTACGTGAGCGGGTCCTTGCCATCAAACGCCAACGTGAGAAAGCCAAACGGGCTCAGGAGGAACTGAAGCAGCTTGAACAGACACCGAATATGGCTCCTGATATCCTACATTTGCTGGATCTGGATTCCCCACCGCCTCTCAGTCCTGCGCAGCCATCGGCACCCACCACACCTGGCTCTGGGGACTCTGCCCTTGGTCCAACCTTCCCCCCAGAGCCAGAGGAGCCAGAAGTTGACCAGCACCAGCCCTTCCACTTTCAGCCTGGCTATTCGTCTGCCACATGTAATTACATTTTATGCTTGGTTGTCCCAGAGATCTCCTGTATCTGAATCATTTTACAGCAGAGGTGGAAGGCATTCACCCTTTTACTGGAGATAGTAGCCATTTTGCTTGGCACTGAATATGGTGCCATGCCTTGAAAAATAAAAAGGACAATTAGACCATTATGTTTCCATTCTAATTGCATCCTGTCAAGTCCTGGGCTTTGTAATTTGGTGAAGCACTAGACAAGCTCCCTGACTAAGAATTTTATAAATTCCACCCTAAACTGCAAATTCCAGGATTCTGTAGGATGTTACCATTGCAGTCAATGCAGAATCATAGTTCTGTAATCATATACAGTAGTCCCTCTCTGGGAATTAGGGATACAAGGTCCCTGCAAAAGTTGAAACACAGCAAAACTTTTTTAAAAAACCTCCAACACTATTTTTTAATGTATTGTCGAAGGCTTTCATGGCTGGAATCACTAGGTTCTTGTGGGTTTTTTCGGGCTATA